ATATGGCATTGTGTTTTACCAATAACTATATTCACTGCCTTACCAATAAAAAAAATCCACTTAGGTTAACTAGTCATATTAAAGTTCTGCAAACTACAACCACTGAATCAAACCCAGCCCACAGCTATTTCTGTATGCCCCTGTTCTAGCTAAGCTGAAAATGGTTTTTATATTTTTAAACAGCTGAAAAATTCAAAGGAAGATAATATTTTGTGACATGAAAATTATGGGAAATTTACTTTTCAATGTCAATAAATAAAGTTTTATTAGAACACAGCCACTCTCATTTCATGTGCGTATTATCTATAGCTGCTTTCTCGCAACAATGGCAATTAAGTAACTGCCACAGAGACTACATGCCCTCAAAGCCTAAAATATTGCCCTTTACAGAAGAGGTCTGCTGACCCCTGGGTGATATCAAAGAAAATTTAAAGTTCCTAATAATCTGCAGAAAAGTCACAAATATTTGTTTAGAATTGGAACATCTTATATCACTCTCAGATGAATCTTCCTAAAACACAGTTCAGACCATGCCTCTCTGCTACCAAAAATGTTTTTAATACTCCCTGACTGTAAAGAAAAGCCGAAAATACCTAACAGGTCATGCACAGTCAAGGCCCTCAGCCTTCCATTCCAAGGTCATCTCCCAAACTTCTCTTCTTACACCATATAACCCAGATGGCCTGAATTATTTGCCCTCCCTTTACATTCTCTATGTCATTCCTACTACATGAAATTCCCTGTCCTGAATATAGTGCAATTCAGGGACCTCAGAGTCAGATCTGGGCTCTAATTCAGACTCCTGCCCCTATCAGCTGAGAAAGTTACTTAATCCCTCTGAACTTCAGTTTTCTCACATAGAGAGTGGAAATAATAATCCTTGCCTCATAAGTCTGTTATAAGATTTTAATTCTTGGCATACAGGAACATTAAAAAGCAGAGACATTACTTTGTTAACAAAGGTCTACATAGTCAAAGCTATGGTTTTTCTAGTAGTCATGTATGGATGTGAGAGTTGGACCATAAAGAAGGCTGAGCACCAAAGAATTGATGCTTTTGAACTGTGGTGTTGGAGACGACTCTTGAGAGTTCCTTGGGCTGCAAGAAGATCAAACCAGTCAATCCTAAAGGAAATATTAATCGGAAGAATGGTCGCTGAAGCTGAAGCTCCAATACTTTGGCCACCTGATGCAAAGAGCCAACTCATTGGAAAAGACCCTGACACTGGGAAAGATTGAAGGCAGGAGAAGGGAATGACAGAGGAGGAGATGGTTGGATGGCATCACTGACTCAATGGACACAAGTTTGAGCAAGCTCCAGGAGATGGTGGAGGACAGGGAAGCCTGGCCTGCTGCAGTCCATGAGATTGCAAAGAGTCGGACACGGCTGAGCAACTGAACAAGAACAACATATAGGAACAGCTAAATAAGTGATAAGTCAATTCTGCCCAACTACAATGCTACTTTCTCCTTTGCTTTCCCTTATCCTTCCACAGGGAAATGACCTCTCTGTCATGTTGTATACCATGGTATCCACCTGTCCCACTCTATGGCTCTGATCCATATCTACTACCTTATACTTTAGTGATCTCTACACATACCTTATCTCCCCTACCAGTCTAGGACCTCCTTGAGGGCAGGATCCCATCTGTGACTTTCTCTGTAACATTTGTAACAACCCTGAGAACAATGGCTTGAATTTAGTACGTGAATGAGCATTTACTGAATGAATGATACATGTTCACTGAATTATATAACATTTATTTGGTCTATCACGTTCACTTGTTGTAAATACCTAGCCTAAGTGCACAGAAAATACTCATACAACATTAGGGACCAAAGCTGCCAATATAAAAACAAAGAACAGGGACTTCCCTAGTGATCCAGTGGTTAACAATCCACCTTGCAATGCAGGGGACATGGTGGGGGTTCCACAATGGTGGGGGAACTAGGATTCCACATGCCATGGGGGAGCCTGCAAGCCACAACAAAAGATCCCACATGCCCAGTGCAACCAAATAAATAAATATTTTTTGAAAAAGAACAAAAAGAAAAGTGGGCAATATATTCACCTCTCAGAGCGCCAATGTTTTTGTCATTGATTTAAATTATAATCACCATTTTTTACTCCAACGATTATGAATAGATCACATTGAAGGGGAGGGGGCAAATCAGTCACTTTCCCAAAGAAGACATACTGAATATCATTCATAACATCAATTACCTCTGAGCACAGATCTAAGGAAATCTAGATATTCAAATAGGATCCATATTTGATAAACTAATTATCACACACAGCTGTGACTAAAACCTTATCTAGAGCTCTGTACAAAATCAAACACAAGCAGGAAATCAAGTTCCAACTAGCTTAACAACTTAAACAAAAACTGCAGCTGATTTTTGCAGCATGAAGCAACAGGTTTGTTGGTTACTAGAAACACTAACCAGTTGATTTGATGGTCAATTTAATAAATTAAATGAAAAAGTGCCAATAATTCTTTACTTTTAATGCCAGATTCCAAATGACAAAATGAATCCACACACATATACAAAATTAATCACTGAGCCACGCCAATATAGGGAATGAACTTTCCAACAAGATGACAGCAAAAAAATGTTTCCAACTACTTTTGTTTATGGATTTCCCTTTAGAAACCTACCAAAAAGTATATTCAGCCAGTATGTTATTAACCTGAAGATGTATTATCAACAACTTAAAATATTTAGCCATTTCTACTTACAAAATACTTTCACAATCCATTAACTCCTTTGAACCTCAAAGCAACTCTGTGAGGCGCATATAATTACCCCCATTTTATATCTGAAATATATGATATGTGCCTTCCTATCCCAAAATTGTGAAGCCAAGATTGTAACACAGGTCTTCTAATCTAAATCCAGTGTTCTCTCTTCCTTTTTCCTCCATACAAAGCAAAAGTATACCTTTGTTTTGCGTCTACCTCACATATTCTGAAAAAGTTGCCCAGCTAGCCCATTTTGAGGAAGCAGAGTGGGAGTATAAACATTACTGTGGTCAAGACAGAGGGAAACATCCTGTCTTTGCCTCTAGCAAATCATGTTTTTAGAATCATGTAACTTAAAGAAAAGAAATGGAGTCTGGGTTAGCTGCTGGGTTTTATTTCCTAACTGTCCTATTTTTGGCTTTCTGTGTACACTCAGGAAAGGAAAACCACCATAAATACCAAGAACCCCCTGAGCCAAAATAACTCTTGGATCTTCTGCCCATATGCAAAGGTTTAAACCTTCATAATTGTCGACTCTCACCACTTTTAATCCCCCAAAAGGAAAGAATAAAAACCGTAAATTACCACTTGCCTAGAAAACTTTCACCCTTCCTCAACCATTTTATTGAACTGTATTTTTTTCTTAAGGATCTTAATCTCTCTGATACGCCTTAACAACTCATTTTTTAGCACAAATACTTTCAGCTTATCCTACACTTCACAAAGTCAGTCCCTTCTGGGGGCTTAGATGAGCTTCATTTAACTATTCCACTAAGTAGTTTACTGGAGCAAGTAAACAAAAAGAAAATCCAAACATTTCCCGCTTTTCCTTTCAGGAACCCTCACCTTTCTAACTACTTTGGTAGCACAACCAGCATATCTTTAACCTCTCAATGAAGTCTATTAAGTGGCAACACACCCCAAACCCTGGGCTAAGGTCTCTAAGGATCAGCATTTCAAATACCCCATCTTTAAGATGCTACCAAGAGTTTACTCTTGTTCAGACCAAAATAAGACACACCATCACATGATCCAATTCAATGAAACAACAAGTAGGAACTTGCAACATTTATGACCAAAGTAGGCAGACAACATATACAGGGAAAGCCCAGACTCCAAGGGGAAAATCAGGAGAGCTACACAACAAACACCACTGCACTGCGGCTGGCAAGTCTTTCTCCTTGCTCTTAGTTGGCTGTATTTGCCTTAAGAAGGTCCCCACAATGGACCAGACACACTATTTGTGGGATAAATCCACTCAGAAAAAAAATATTACAGGTATACAGAATATATTTGCCAGTGACTTTGACTTTATTTTTCATAATCATCCTTCAACCAAGAAGAGAAAAAATGAATTATCACCACCCATTCCCTATTTTCCATTTTTCTGAGTATATACTTTGGCACAATGGATTGATCTGCCTGCACTCTTGTTGGGGATGTTTATTATTCTTTCTCTTACTCCAAACCTTCTGCCAACTAGCAGAAGTAAAAAATCTATACACAGTGGGTAAGCGGGGGAGGGTCCAAGAGTTCTTAGTTCTGAGGACCTGGAAAGCCAAGCTAGGTGAGGTTCCTTCAGCCTGGTGACTCCCAACCTGAGCTCTCTACTATGCTCCCAGGGAGCTGGGCTCCTCCTTCTAAGGACTAGGCAGGTCTTTGTTCCACCTGCAAGGAGAATTCAGTGGCACATGAGGTCATTTAATAATTCTGAACTTAGACCAACCTTGAACACAACCATAACTCAGTAACTTAAAGAGAAAAAAAACACTAAGGCAAAGGTGCTTTCCTTAGAAAATAACTTGCCATTGGCAATTTCTTACTACCCCCATATTTATCTGCAGCAACCAGAGGCCAAGCAGAAACAAAACCCTGACTCAAGCTGCTGGCCTGAATTCCCAATTCTTTAGGAGGTTGTGGGGCAGTTCCTTGGTCAGCTTAGATGTCCCTTTCATACATGGGTATAAACATGTCCAACAGTACAAGTGGCCTGTCCCTTTAGAACAGGAGTCTGACAAGAAAGGATAGCTGCCGAACAAGACAGTCCCTCAGCTACAGATCCTGTCTCATAAAACCAAAACCACCAAAGGGGAAAACCCCAATTCTAGTTGTAGCCACCAACTTCCACTTCTACTGACCCCACTTCCAAAATATCCGGAAAACCATGAGCCTCAGACACTTGGGCTGGGGTGTGGAAGATCTCCAAAGGCCAGAGCCACCGGTTCACAGAAACTGTTCATCGAAGTCTTCCACTTACTTCTCATTGCGCTGATAAGCGCGTTGCCGTCTTTGATCACATCTTTGATGAATTTATTGGTCCTCTCCAGTTCCTGCTCATAACACTTGAGCCTCTCGCGGAAATCAGGACTGTCCAGGTAGCAGTCGCTGAACTCCAGCGGGGGATGCCCCATGGTTCTGATGACAGGGATTGGAAGGAGAAAGGAAAGACACAAAGACCAAGAGCATCAGTGGCACAGTACGAGGAAAAGATGGGTTGCGCAGAGTGCAGGACCCATTTAGGAAGCTGTAGCCTCCCTCCTTTTAGAGGGCAGATACCTGTTCAGAAGAGATTCCTGGGGACAGCTGGCTGGTCTGTACCGGAAACAGGCGGCCCGGCGATTGCTTCAGGTGACGGGGAGAGCTAACTAACGCAGTTGGAGCCCGGCGGGGTGCTGCTTAACAAGCAACATGCCCCCTAGTCATCGCTCCCCTGACAGGCAGCAGAAACCAACTCGTCTCTTCTCCAGAGAGCGGCCTGATCCTTCCCGAGCAACTGCAAACGTGACACTTCGGCCCGCCCAGGGTGTAGGCGGGGGTGAGCACTGAGGGTGGGAGGTGCCTCTCCTTGCTCCCAGCTGCCGAGCCAGCAGAAAATTTCCTTTGCCGAGCTCCGCGGGTAACCCGGAGTGCACTGTCCCCTCCCCCTTCTTAAAGCCAGCGCCTCCGCCCTTCCCGGGCAAAGCCCATGTACCGAAGCAGGGTACTCAGGTTCCTTAAACTGTATCTTACTTGCACCCTAGGGTCTCTTTACCAGAATCTGCCGTCTCCTAAAGTTCTTCCTGGTCCGAGGGAGCGGCCTGTTGTCCTGCTAAGCGCCAGAGGTGTTAAGCCGGGCGACAATGAAACGTAGCCTTCCTCCTAAGACGCCCGAACGGGAAGAGGAGGGCAACAGCGCGACGCACAATAGCTGCGGTAGCCCGGCGCTTCCCTACGGAAACTGGGGAGCAGTCAGCTCCCTAGACTCCAGCTGGAAAGCGTGGCGGCTTGGGAGATGTAGTCTTTCCGTTTCGCGCCCTGTGACTCCTTCCTGCGATCTCCGCATTACCCCGCCAGGGCGCCGGCTCTCACAAAGAGTATTCCCAGCCCACCCCAGCTAATAGCTGTCTTAGCACAGCCTCCAGGGGCAGGTGCGCCCACACTAGTTGTTGTTTTTCAGTCGCCAAGCCGTGTGGGAATCCCTTGCGACTCAATGGACTGTAGCCCACCAGGCTCCACTGTCCATGGGCTTTCCCAGGCAAGAATACCGGAGTGGGTTGCCATTTCCTTTTTCAGAGGATCTTCCCCACCATCTCCTGCATCAGCAGGCAGATTCTTTACCACTAAGCCACCTGGGAAACCCCTAGAGTATACCTGGAAAGCTTCCAAAATGGGAGACAGTGAGAACCCAGGAGAGATCAACTGTGGGATGATGTCTCTCACTTCTCTTTATTTGGCTGGATTGTTTGTTGTTTTTTTCCTTCCTTTTTCCAGCTTCCCTCTGACTGACCCACTTCTATTTCTCCTCCCTTTCCCATTTCTATGAGCTCTAATTCCCATGTGCCTTCTACCTGAAGGGTTGACTTCTGCTCTGGGATCTCTGTGTTAAGCTCAGAACCCCCTGCCAGAGAAAAGGAGGCCATAATTAGGAATTCATTTTTTCCTGAATTGGACCACAAAGTGTGGTTTTTGTGATCCAACTCATTGCATTGGCTGTTGATTAAAGCATGTGATTTTCCATGTGTAAGTAGAAAAGCTATAAAGAGGATATTATAAACTGTCTTGCAGCTTCCCTGAGAGGCCTCTTGTCCATTGTCTATTGTAGGAGAATTAGGGCTACTCTTACAGGTGGCTGCCTTTAGACTAACAGTAGCTAGGGGCTGGAAAATAGTGTGTACATAAGCAAAAAGATTGAATTTAATTTTGGGAAAGTGTTTAGATTACATTGCCTTGTGAAGAAAGCCAAGAAAGCCAGAACTGAAGGAGATTGTAAATAGAGTAGTAACAGCTTCCCTACCTGTATTAGTATCTTATTGCTGCTGTAACAAATTATCACAACCTTGATGACTTGAAATAGCAAAAATTTATTATCTTACACTTTTGAAAGTCAGAAATTAAAAATAGAACTCTGTAGGCCAAATCAAGATGTCAAATAGGCTGTGTTCCTTTCTGGAGACTGTAAGAGAGAATCCATTTCCTTGCCTTTTCCAGCCTCTGTAAGCTGTCCACATACCCTGGCTCATAGCCCCCTTCCTCCATCTTTAAAGCCAGTAGTGGCCAGTCAAGTCTCTCTCCCACTGCATCACTTTGACACTGACCTGCCTGCCTCCCTCTTTCTCTTCTAAGGACCCACCAATAACCCAAGATAATCTCCCCATCTCAAGATACTTAACAAGCCTGCAAAGTCCTTTTGTCATGTAAGACAATACAGTCACACATTCTAGGGATTGTGACATTTGATGTCTATGGGAGAAATATTCTTTACCTTCCACACAGTCTATAATTCCATAACCCAATTTGCACATGTACGGGGGTGTGCATGCTCAGTGGCTCAGCCGTTTCCAACTCTCTGGGACCCCATAGACTGTAACCCACTAAACTCCTCTGTCCATGGAATTTTCCAGGCAAGAATACTGGAGTGGGTTGCCATTTCCTACTCCAGGGGATCTTCCCCACCCAGGGACCAAACGTGCATCTCCTGCATCAGCAGGCAGATTCTTTACCACTAGAGCCACCTGGGAAGCCCATAACCCACTTCATGAATCCTCAAAACAATCTTATGAAGTTATTATTATTATTATTATTATTATACCCATTTAAAGATGACACAGCTGAGTTGAAGAGACGTTAAGTGACTTAACCTCAGCTAGTTTAAATGTGAGCCTACCCTGCTTTTTTAAAAAAATTTATTTTTTTCAATTGGAGTATAATTGCTTTAGAGTGCCAAGTATACAGTTCTGCTGTACAACAATGTGAATCAGCTATATGTATACATATATATACTCCTTCTTGAACTCCCTCCCTCTTGAGCTTCCCTCCTATCACCCATCTCACCCCTGTAGGCCATCACAGAGCACCGAACTGAACTTCCTGTGCTATATAGCAGCTTCCCACTAGCCATCTGTACTACATGTGGAGCCTACCTTGCTGTTAACCACTACACTATATCACAGTAATGGACAAAAGTCCAATGAGGAAACTTTCTGAGAATTAATAGGTAGCCACGTCCCAGGAAAGGATTTTATCTCCTACTCATTTTTCTTTATGAGAAAACGTCCATTTTCTTTAAAAACACCAATGCAGATACTAAGGGAAGATGCCCAAGGAATGGGTAAATGGTCTTTCATTGTAGGAAGATTCCCTATAACATTCATCAACTAATTCAACAAACATTTATTGAACACCTGCTTTATTTCTTGATTTATAGAGCCTAGGCCTATATTTTCATCATGATGAAAATTATCATTAACATTACTAATGTTTAGCTATCATCTAATCCCTGCACTCAAAGTGTTTTACAGTCATCTGTGTTATCCTTTACCTAGACAATGAAGCTAAAGTGCAGAGAAATAAAAGTGTCCTAGACTGAATACCAAGGAAGAAGAAAGAGGGTTAAAATTAAAACTTAATCCTTCAGTTAATAGCAGTATTAATTCTTATTCTATATGCTTTGCACACACTAAACCTAAACCTGACAACACCCCGTATAGTATTGGGATCTTCAAATGTTTGTTCACATAATTCCTAAAAGTTTTTTGAGAAGCTATTTACTCCCTCACTCATTTCTAAGTTAACATCTAAATTTTTTCATCATGTTTAAACAGTTGAAAAAGGTATAATTTCTAGCATACTATAGATATTGACAATTTAAAATAAAACTTATATTACATATTTAAAGATATTCATTGGATTCTAGAAACCAGGGCAATTGATGTCTATCATCAAACATTAAACTTGAAAGTGTAAACTTTTCTTTAACCATCAGGAAAAATACATTGTTTCTGTTTTCTCCTTGAAATCAAATATCCATTACATTCTTCCTACAGAATCATAGCCTATCATAATATATTTTTATAGTTGAAAGTCCTCTACTGAACTCCATATTGAATTTTTCTGCAACAAAATAGGTACATAAATAGAAATTGAATTATTTTTATTTCTTTATAGCTATAAGTGTCTAATTATAAAAAGTCTTCTAGATTGAGTTATAGTTGCAATTGTTATACATACATAATAGGTAAAAATAGCATGAAGCTATTATACATCATGATTATTATTAAACATAAAATATAAAATTTTATTTGAAATGCATCTGTTAGAGAGATGGATGAGGAAGAGGTAAGTTACAGGGTCTTGAGTTAAAGAAGATTCCTGGATGTGAATATTTGAATTGTTGTTTTACTTAGCCCCAAGGGTTTATACAGCCTGAGTCAAAGTATCACAGTAAGACTCCTGACATTTGAAAGGTATGCTTTTCTTTTTAAAGACTGGGAAAAAGAGGTGGGGAAAAGAAGTGGGAAAGGTAAATCATTTTTAGCAAATATTGAGCAAACATCATTTAGCAAATAGTACTAAATGAATTTAGTGACTTGAAAATTGTTCCCCTTTCAACTTTATTCATAATTTGTAAATGGATAAATAAACTATGATACATCCATGGAATGGAATATCATTCAGGGCTAAAAAGAAATGTGCTATCATGATATCACTTATATGCGGAATCTAAAAAAATGATAAAAATGAACTTATTTACAAAACAGAAATAGAGTCACAGATGTAGAAAACAAACATGGTTACAGGGGTGGGGTGAAAAGTAGGAGGGGGAATAAACTGGAAGATTGGGATTGACATATACATACCACTATATATAAAATAAGGGCAGAGAACTTGTCCTGGGATATGTAATATAGCACAGGGAACTCTAATCAGTACTCTGTAATAGCTTATATGGGAAAATAATCTATAAAAAAGAGTGGATGTATATGTATAACTGATCCATTTTGCTGTACAGCAGAAATTAACACAGCAATGTAAATCAACTATACTCCAATAAAAATTTTTTAAAAATGAAATGAGCTATTAAGACATGAAAAAACATGGAGGAAACACATGCACATATTACTAAGTGAAAGAAGTCAATCTGAAAAGACTACATACTAAATGATGCCAACTATGTGATATTCTGAAAATGGCAAAACTACAGAGACATTGGAAGGACTGATGCTGAAGCTGAAACTCCAGTACTTTGGCCACCTCATGTGAAGAGTTGACTCATTGGAAAAGACCCTGATGCTGGGAGGGATTGGGGGCAGCAGGAGAAGGGGACGACAGAGGATGACATGGCTGGATCGCATCACCGACTTGATAGGCATGAGTTTGAGTAAGCTCCGGGAGTTGGTGATGGACAGGGAGGCCTGGCGTGCTGCGATTCATGGGGTCACAAAGAGTCGGACACGACTGAGCAACTGAACTGAGACAGTAAAAAGATCGGTTCTTGCCAGGATTGTGAGGAGGGGAGAGAGAAAGGAATAGGTAGAATACCAGAGGATTTTTATAGCAGTAAAAATGCTGTGTATGATATCATAATGGTGGATACATTTCATTATGCATTTGTCCAAACCCATAGAATGTACAACACCAAGAGTGAACCCTAGTGTAAAATTTGGACTTTGAGTGATTATGATGTAGTTTCAATGTAAGTTCATCAAATGTGCCACTCTGGTGGAGGATGTTGATAATGAGGGGAAGTTATGCATATGTTGGTGGCAACAATATAGAGGAAATCTCTGTACCTCCCTCTCAATTTTTGTGACCCTAAAGCTGCCCTAAAAATAAAGTCTTTAAACTTTTGTGGAGGGGACAGAAATCCTATTTCCCATGCATCTTGTGTGTCAAAGTAACAACACCTCCACAGTGTTAATTCACAACCAATACCTCATCT